TTTTTTCTTTTGTATTTTGAGAGAATTTCATGGTACTCATTAATATCTATGCAATAATTATGATAAATTTTTCCCATTGAAAATAGAACACATTTTTTTTTTCTAATTTTTTAAAATTATTTTTCAATTAATGCAGTATTTCAGATTAAAATAGAGACTAGGCCTTTAAAATCCAATTTTGAAGGCAGAATAGCACCTCCTGGTGAGAGCAAAAAAAAAGAGAGAAAAACCTGTAATTTCATGGTGTAACCACTAGATCCTGTATAGGGACTCTATAGAGAGGCTTGTGAATTCCCTAGTTGTTTTATACATAATTGTTTACTTTTATTAGGTTGTGGATTTAAATGTATATTAAGGCATTCTCAAAGACTACTTTTTTTCAAGGTTTATATTTTTTATTGTTTTAAATGTTGATCTGAAGTGTAGGTTTTTGCATTATTATTACTACATTCAAACCTGAACACAGAAAGCATTTTGATACTCAAAACATTAAAATTCTATAAAAATGTAACAAAAATTAACAGGAATGCTTTATCAGAGCTTAATCCTTCTGGGTCTGATCTGATTTTAACCTCTTATTTCAGTCTTCTGACTCATTTTGGCTATATGGTTATAGCCATACCAATTCATTTGAGTATGTATAATTCTGTATGTGTGTGTCTGTGAGAGTGTGTTAAGTAAGTGTGAGTGGATGTATCTGTTTTATACTCTTGATGTTTTAAAGTGTAACCCCTTCCTTGCTGTCCACTTTTTTACTGCATTGTAGTTGAATTATTGATTTTATTTTACATAGTTGCAGTGTTACAGTCACACCAGTTCATAGGTGTGTGTGTGTGTGTGTGTGCGTGTACAAGTGTGTGCCCACGCGTGTATGAGTTGGTGAGTTGATTTTGCACTTTAGATGTTTTAGTTTGCCCCTTCATTGCTGTGCAATTTTTTTTCTGCATTGTGGGGGATTTGTAGATTGTACACACAAAAATTTTCTGTATTTTCGATTTTTTTCCCATTTCCCATTAATTTCCTATGTTCGATCATTTTTGACCGAAGACCATGAGTGTGTCTAATTTTTTCATGCCCTCAATTTTTTGTGTGTGTTCACATACCAAGTGCCATAGAAGTCACCAAGTTTCGTACCATTCTGGTGAAGCTACGATTTTTAAAATTTCAAAATTTAAAATTCTCCCGTCAGAAGTGACCGAAGACTGCACAAGGGTTAAAGGCGTCGGAACTCAGGCTGGACTCGTCCATTGTGCGGAAAAGTTTGGCCTGGAAAACTTGGAGCACCGCCATTGTGTGTAGCGCTGAGCCAGCCTGGCCAGCTGGCAATGGGAGAGACCGTTCGAAAGGGAACAATGTTTATAGCATTCAAATTTGGTCACGGAAGCTCAAGCATGCTTGGTTGACACGGCTTCCGGAAGTTTGAGCTTCCGCAAGAACGAATAAGGTTCTCATGCATCAAGCAAGTATCGTTGAGCTTTTAAGTTCACTGATCAATATTTATATGTGAATAAGACTTAAATAAAATAAAACTGTTCTTAAAGGTGGGGTAAGCGATTTCTGGTAGCCAATGTTGACATTTGAAATCACCAAAACAAACACGCCCCTACCCCAAAAGGGTCTCGCCCCTATTTTGATAGCTCCGCCCCACACATACGTACGCAACCCATGCAACGATTAGTTCTGTGAAAAGCAAAACCAATGTTACATCGTGTCTACACCGGACACGAGTGGTGCGGCGCGACAAAATACTATGGAACTCATTATAATAAGTGATGCTGTCTACACCATAGATATGTACATATAGATATGTACATATCTATGGTCTACACTGGATGCGGCGAGGCACGACACGACAACTCCCCGACAGAAAACTGCTGCTGCGTTCTATTCATGACGTATTGACACAAATTTCAAATGATTTTCAACGGTCGCTTTGTCGCGTCCAGTGTACTAGACAGAATTTAGCTGTTGCGGCGCAGACACGGTGTTACTCACCTATCGAGAAGAAACAAAGCAACCTCAGCGTCCGATCGCAGGCCTTCCGCTCCTTGAGTTCTCTCCAGCGCTGGAAAGCTGATCCGAAATTTACACGGGTCCTACTTCTTGCCTTAAGCCTTCTTTTGTTCCGCAGACGTTTTCCTCTTTTGTTTTTTATCCGCCATCTCTATCTGTCGCTCGGCTCGGCTTATGTCCGTCCTGTGCACTGAACGCTCTCTGGCGGTAGCACTTTTAGCTGTAGCTTAGCATTGATCATTGAATCTGATTAGACCGTTAGCATCTCGCTCAAAAATGAATGAAGAGTTTCGATATTTTTCCTATTTAAAACTTGACCCTTCTGTAGTTAACATTGTGTACTAAGACTGACGGAAAATGAAAAGTTGCGATTTTCTAGGCCGATATGGCTAGGAACTATACTCTCATTCCGGCGTAATAATCAAGGAACTTTGCTGCCGTACCATGGGTGCAGCAGGCGCAATGATATTACGCAGCGCCTGAAAATAGACTAACTTCCGTCAACATAACCAACGTGACCACCTGCTTGCACAGGGAGCGTGCTAGGGACTATTTTCAGGCGCTGCGTAATATCATTGCGCCTTCTGCACCCATGGTACTATAATATTTATAGCATTTTGTAATTAATAATAATATTAACAAAATTATTACAAAAAAAGAAATATACAATATAACAAATATTACAACTGAGACTTGGACCAGCTTTGGCCCATTTTAGGCCCTTGTCTTCTGGTCAATGCAGTGCTGTCGTTCTTTGTGGGTTGAGGGAAAACTTGTTGTGTAGACTGGAGCTGGGCCAGAAGAATGCTATATGGGATTGCCAAACTCCTAGTACTCTTCTTTTAACTTAGAACAGTGTCTAAAAATGTCAAACGTGTATCCCAATGGTCAGAGACATCAATATAGTGTTTACAATTAAAAACAGAGGTACAGCATGTCCTGTGGGAGCAACCCTTAAGCATACCCCTAGTGTTTCTTATTTCTACTGGGCTCCAATAAGTATGGCAGGAAGGAAGCAACCGTTTAATGTGTTGCTGTCGAAACAGTCCTACGCTGACATATTCCACAGTGTGGAAGGAGTGAGGAAGTAGAGCAAGTCTTTGTTGCAGCTTGGTTTCAACTTGTTTTGCATTGAGGGAGAAGTTTTATGTTCTAAAAATTACAGGTTGTTCTTAGAGTACAATGAACTGTTATATGTTGAAAGATCAAGGAAGATTTGATTGTCATGATAATTAAAACAGGACTTTGCCTTAAACAGGACTTGATTTGAAACCAAATGTAAATATAGAAGAAAGGGTCAAATACTGTTCTTCAGAGATAATTTAATTAATATTGCTTATCTTTAAATTCTGAACTATGTTTCAGCTGAATGGCTGTGGCTCCCAGCAAAATTGATTTATGTTAAGGTCTTTACTTGTAATACCACAGAGTTCGGTTTCAGGGTTATGTAGTGTGTTTACCACCACTGATGCTCTCTGGTAAAGAAAAGGTACTGCACTACTAACAGAACATAGACAAGACCCACTGTGCCATTTGCCCTCTTGTGGAATTGTGTGGTAATACAATCCTCACAGGATAAAAGTAATTTTATTCTGTTAACATTGTTAAAGAACATGCAATATTATCTGCAATTTTAGACAAAGATTAACAAGGTGAAAATGTTAAAACTGTTTTAATAGGGCTGTCAATTGACTAAAACAATTAAACAACTAATATCTTGATATATTGTAGTTTAGTTACATTGTTAGATTCATTACTTTTCAAATGCAACAAAACAAAACACAGTATACGCAAGAGTTGGGTTAACAATTTTGAGAGGATGGCAATTATAATTTAAAGCCAAATGAAATGAAATAACATGAAACATGTTTAGTTATTTATGTGCGTTAACATCGTTAACTTTGACAACTCTAATTTTAACACATGAAATGTTTAATTAAGAACTTGTATGTAGAAATACAGGAGATATCAGGAGAAAAATATAAAATTATAAGCACAGTTTAACTGTACATTTTACTGTTTGCACAGAAGTAAATAACTCACAAATATGCTTTTTATCAAGCATTAAATCTACAAGCAGTGCACTCTTGTAAGTTTGCCCAAGCTGTGAAACACCATCATTTAATGTTCTAATTGCTTGATGATACATGCAGGCGATATCAGTTGTGCCTCCATTTTCTCGTCCTCATCAATAAGATGCTGAATATAACACGAAGTTCCTACTAAAACATGGCCAGTAGTCTGCATAGTGAAGAGAGTCCATTTTAAGGCTTCCCTTTTAGCGGAGAGAAAGGAAGATCAGTAAGACATAAGCCTTTTATGTTTACTTTCTATAATATATTAATGTAAATGACCTTTTTCAAAAATAATTTATGATCTGTAGTTTTGTATAATTTATTATTGACTGCACTTTATACATACACTTTGTACAAGACTGTATTTATATACCAGATGAGTGAATAGGTACAAAAACAAAATGAAATGATTATAAGTGATATAATAACTTTCTAACATTATTAATTTAGTTTGGTTAAATGTTTTTAGTTTACATTTATTTTAATTAATTTATCTCACAAGTTTGTCTGGCAGCTCGAACTACTGTTGCAATCATGAATAAAATAGCGATCTCGAGAAAGTGTTTTTGTTAATGTTGATATTATCTCATTTATTTATGCTTTATTTTTCCAGGAAGGTCCCATTGAGATAAAAAAAAATCTCTTCTTCCAGGGAGTCCTGGCCAATGGCCTGTGCTGGCTTACATACTTTAATTGTTATATTAGTATATTATTTCTTGCTCTCCCTATCTCAAACTACAGACTAGAGCTTCTTATGACACACATGGACACACACACTCACACACACTTACCTTAGC